GTAAACTTCAGGCCAATATTCATGATGAACATAGATGCAAAAATCTTCAATAAAATACTGGCAAACTGATTGCAACAGCACATCGAAAAGCTTATCCATCACAATTAAGTAGGCTTCATCCCAGGGATGCAAGGCTGGTTCAACATATGCAAGTCTATAAATGTAATTCACCACATAAACAGAACCAAAGACAAAAACCACATGATTACCTCAATAGATGCACAGAAGGCCTTCGACAAAATTCAACAGCCCATTATGCTAAAAACTCTCAATAAACTAGGTATTGATGGAATGTGCCTCGAAATAATAAAAGCTATTTAAGGCAAACCCACAGTCAATATCATACTGAATGTGCAAAAACTAGAAGCAGTCCCTTTGAAATCTGGCACTAGACAAGGATGCCCTCTCTCACCACTCCTATTCAATATAGTACTGGAAGTTCTAGCCAGAGCAATCAGGCAAGAAAAAGAAATAAAGGATATTGAATTAGGAAAGGAGGAAGTCAAATTTTCTCTATTTGCAGATGACATGATTGTATATTTAGAAGACCCATCACCTCAGCCCAAAATCTCCTGAAACAGATAAGCAACTTCAGCAAAGTTTCAGGATACAAAATCAATGTGCAAAAATCACAAGCATTCCAATAACAGACTTAAAGAGAGCCAAATCAAGAATCAACTGCCATTCACAATTGCTACAAAGAGAATAAAATACCTAAGAATACAAATAACAAAGGATGTAAAGGACCTCTTCAAGGAGAACTACAAAACTGCTCAACGAAATAAGAGAGGACACAAACATATGAAGAAACATTCCATGTTCATGGTTAGGAAGAATCAATATCGTGAAAATGGCCATACTGCCCTAAGTAATTTATAGATTCAATGCTATCCCCATCAAACTACCTATGACCCTCTTCACAGAACTGGAGAAAACCACTTTAAACTTCATATAGAACCAAAAGAGAGCCCACATAGCCAAGTCAATCCTAAGCAAAAAGAACAAAGCTGGAGGCATCACACTACCGGACTTCAAACTATACTACAAGGCACAGTAATCAAAACAGCATGGTACTGGTACCAAAACATGGTCCTGTACCAATGGAACAGGACAGAGCCCTCAAAGGCAATGTCACACATCTACAACCCTCTGATATTTGACAAACCAGACAAAAACAAGCAATGGGGAAAGGAGTCCCTGTTTAATAAAAAGTGTTGGGAAAACTGGCTAGCCATGTGCAGAAAGCTGAAACTGGATCCCTTCCTTACACCTTACACTAAAATTAACTCCAGGTGAATTAAGGACTTAAACGTAAGACCTAACACCATAAAAACCCTAAAAGAAAACCTAGGCAAAACCATTCAGGACATAGGCATCGGCAAGGAATTCATGACTAAAACACCAAAAGCAAGGAATTCATGACTAAAAACACCACAACAACAAAAGTCAAAACAAACAAATTGGATCTAATTAAAGTCCAGAGCTTCTGCACAGCAAAAGAGACAATCATTAGAGTGAACTGGCAACCAAAAGAATGGGAAAAAATTTTTGCAATCTACCCATCTGACAAAGGGCTAATATCCAGAATCTACAAAGAACTAAAACAGATTTACAAGAAAAAAACAAACACACCCATTCAAAAGTGGGCAAAGGACATGAACAGACACTTTTCAAAAGAAGACATATATGAGGCCAACAAACATATGAAAAAATGCTCATCATCACTGGTCATTAGAGAAATGCAAATCAAAACCACATTGAGATACCATCTCATGCCAGTTAGAATGGTGATCATTAAAAAATCTGGAGACAACAGATGCTGGAGAGGATGTGGAGAAATAGGAACACTTTTATACTGTTAGTGGGAGCGTAAATTAGTTCAACCATTATGCAAGACGGTGTGGTGATACCTCAAGGACCTAGAAATAGAAATTCCATTTGACCCAGCAATCCCATTACTGGGTATATCCAAAGGATTATAAATCAGTCTGTTATCAAGACACATGTACACGAATGTTCATTGCAGCACTGTTTACAATAGCAAGGACCTGGAACCAACCCAAATGCCCATCGACGATAGACTGGATAGGGAAAATACAGCACATATACACCATGGAATACTATGCAGCCATCAAAAACGATGAGCTTGTGTCCTTTGTAGGGACATGGATAAGTCTGGAAACCATCATTCTCAGCAAACTGACACAAGAACAGAAAATCAAACACCACATGTTCTGACTCATAGGCAGGTGTTGAACAATGAGAATACTGGACACAGGGAGGGGAGCTTCACACACTGGGTTCTGTTAGGGGAGGGACAGCAGGAGGTAGGCAGTTGGGGAGGGATAACATGGGGAGAAATGCCAGATATAGGTGATGGGGATGGAGGCAGCAGACCACATTGCCATGTATGTACCTATGCAACAATCCTGTGTGTTCTTCACATGTACCCCAGAACCTAAAGTGCAATAAAATATATATATTAATTAATTTAAAAAATAGTTTTATGTCTCCTAGATGCCAGACATGTACCAATCCTAAAAAATAACCACAATTAAATAGCACGAGGAAGATTATTGCATAAGGTGATAGTTCTTTTCAATGGTAAGAGGGTTTTTTTAAATTATGATTGTTTTATTTTGAAATTTTTTCATGTTGGATGCATACTATAAGCATGACATCTTTCCCTAAATAGTGTTACTAATGAGAAGAAATAACCTAGGAAGAACCCAAATAAGCAATAACATTTTTTAAACCTTTTATTTATCAGAAAAAAATCAGATTTATTAATACACGGAGCCAGAGATCAAAATAGAAACATAAGGCCACTATATTTGAGACTTCCTTAGGAAAATAATTTTTAAAGACTTAAAGATTGTGAAGTAATTATGTTTATCTACATATATCAATGCATCTTTTGATGCTAGCTTATTACTTGCAATTGTCCTGCCAATAACACGTATTGTCTGTCACCTGGTTTATGGCTTTAGCCCCTTTTGGAGGATAATCATAAAACCCAAAACTCTTGGGGCAGGAAGGAACTGTATAAAGCATACAGTCCAGTCCACTCATTTTGCAGATGAGGAACAGCCCATGTGGGGAGACCAAGTGACTTGTTCAAAGCCCTACAAGTAACTAGTGGCTCAGCCAAAGACAGACCCTAGACTCCAAGCTGCCAGGACATTGCTTTTGACTCGTTGAGGAGGGGTAAAATTCTCCCTAGCCATCCATTCATTCATCCATCCAACCAGCATTTGCTGAGTGCCCAACACATGCAGAGGCTATTCCAGGGTTGGGGATGCAGCAGAGAACAAAACTGGGAAAGTCCCAGCTTTCAGGGGCCTTCTGCCCTTGGGGGTGAAGAAATAATAAATATATACTTATGCCAGGTGGTGAAAGGGCTAAGAAGGAACATAAAGCAACGTAAGGGGCTCACTAGTGCTGGAAGGTTGCTGCTGTTCACAGGTGGTCAGGGAGTACCATATGGATAAGGTGACGTTTGAGCAGCGAGTAAATTTGGAGTAAAATTTAGAGTAAGCGTAGAATACAAGCTAATTCAAAACAGCGTGGATATTCCAAAAAGGATAGCGAGGATGTATATGAAGGGCAAGCCAGTGGGAATCAGTGAAATAAAGAAGGAGATGGCTTAAACAGAGAAGGGATGCTGATGGTGACAGTCTGCAGTCTGCAAGCAGCTGTGACCTCCGAGGAACCCCCTTGAACTCACCTCTGCTGTCTGCCTGGCACAGGTCCAGGTGGCACCTAGGGCAGGCTCCATGACCACAGGGGAGCAGTTCAGGCCTGAATCTGAGGAGGGAACCTGGGCAGAAAAGGATTTTCTTTTCAGTAACCAAAGAACTAAGAAATCCCTCCCGATTCTGAGTGGGGGTGGAGGTGGGTGAACCAGCAAGAAAGAACCTCAAAGGTCAAGCCAGATTGGGAGCCAGCCTATTTGAAACAAGGAATGCAAGCGACTGAGAGACGGTTCAAATCGTCAGGCTAATTGTGCCCGAGGAAGCTTTTCACAAAGTGTAATTCAGGCTCTTTGTAAACCATAGACTGTGCTGCTGTACCACCTTGAGGCTCCCAGTAACACTGCAGCTTTAAGAAAGCAGAGTTGGTCTTCGACGCTGCTGTGGTCTCTGCCCAAAGCTTCCTTCTCACTGTGATAAAACTCTATGTACCCCTGGATGGGTGCCAAGCAGTGCCCTGTAGTGAACCCCACGGGAGAGGCTGCAGGGCTATTTGTGGGAGAGCAGTGCACCCAATGGCTGCCACCCAGCCCCGTGACGCTAGAACCAGCCCGGCCTGGCTGGGAGGCGCATGGGCACCACTGTCCAGGGCAAACTGCCGAGATGACCATCTGAGCTACCCCCAGCTCAAGCACCTCAGACCCTGTGCCTTCAGGCTCAATCACATGGCAGCTTTTGAGGCCATCAGAAGGCCCCACGCATGGCTAAAACCCCAATTTTAAGAGAAAAAAGAAAGCCCAGGTAATGACTGCTTTTCAGGAGGCAACTCAGGAAACAGAAAAGTTTTCTGGCTTTTTTTTCTTTTTAATAAACTACTTTCACTTGTGCCTAAACATATTAACCTACATTCCCTCCCTTCCTTCCTTCCTCCCTCCCTCTCTCTCTCTTTCTCTCTTTTCTTGGGACAGAGTCTTACTCTATTGCCCAGGACGGAATGACCACAGTCGCCATTCAGCAGCTTTGCCTACCGCGGCCAATGGTGTCCTTTCCTGTCTCGGTATTTGTTCCTTCTAGAAACTCTGGCTTAAAGGCCCCTCCTCCGTCTCCTCCCTCATCCCACCCCTGCACTCTCCTCGTCCAATCCAGTCCCTTGGCAGGACAACAGGCATTTCCTAGTTACAGCCTCAGGGTCGGAATTTCAATAGCCAAGCCTCTATATCAGGAGACGGGGCGGGGGGGTCCAAACGTGGGAGTAGGGACTGGCAGAGGTGGGTGCAAGACCGAGGCAGAGACAAGACGGGCAGCTCCCGCAGCTTCTCTCTGCCTGCCTCGGCCGCCAGCAGTCTCCCCCTCACCCCAACCCACCCCAATTTTAAGAGGCAAAAAGAAAACCCAGGTGGCGTGTGCTTTTCAGGAGGCAATTCAGGAAACAGAAACGTTTTCTGGCTTTTTTTCTTCTTTGTAATAAACTACTTTCATTTGTGCATAAACGTATTAACATACATACTTTTTTTTTTTTTTTTTTTTTTTTTTTTTT